AGAGCCAAGTTCTGCTTGGTCATGTTGTTATAAATTATGAAGGAGCTTTTTGGTCTAAGGTCACTGTGAGTTTGTACTGGTCTAACTTGGAACAGAACCCAGCTCCTAATCTGAGCATTGCTGTAGACAGGGAATTTCAAAAGCCGTCGAAGCTATGCAGGTCCATAATTCCCGTTTGAAATCAATGGCTGTTATGTACCTGCATTCCTTTAAGGCAGCCTAGGATATCAACTCTTTTCGCCTGCTTAGACTTCAATTTTTGTATATCCCTTGATGACTCTTCCCTGAAAAGTGACTACATAACATTTTTCAATGAGCAAACTAAGTTTGCAATAAAGCTGCACTTTTAAAAATAAATTTCAGTTTGTATACATTTGAAATAGGAATCCCTCTGTCCTGTCTGACACAGAGTTCTGAAATAGGCCACCACTCTTGCCTTTTCCTGGTTCACCACCTGTTTTTTCACTGACACTGATTTTGGTTAAAGCCTACCAAGCAGTTACGGGTCTTGATGTTAGCTTTACAAGGTGAATCATTCCGGGTGGGCTTCTACACCCACACAACCTGTTGATTTCAGTGAATCAGTGTCTTACTGTTGGATGTGAGAAATCCAGTCTGAGAGGTATGTGCAGCAGAGGTGTTTCACACCTCTTCCTCTGGGAAATACTGCAGGTTGGGTTAAGGTGGTCCTCGAGGCTGTTGTTTATGTGGTTCCCGAATGGAATCCATGCTCTCTTGCAAAGGTTTTTGAGTATCATCTCCTCATATAGCAATTAGCACTCTCATCACCCTTTCACCAAAGAGCCAGTGTAGCAATTTCAGTCCATTGATTTGAGATGGTCGATACCTGTCATGCCCTTTATGTGTTAGCAAATGGAATAAAGCTAGTCAAACCTAAAAGTTAATTTCTTTACATAAGATTTGAGTTTTAAAAAATTGACAAAAAATTAGACCTAGAACAAAATACCAGTAACATCATTTTTTGTAATAATAGCACCTCAATTAGTCTTTGTACAAAAGTACTTAACACAAGATCGACTTTGAGAGTGTACACAGGCTCA